CTCTACTTCATTATATACACACCGAACGCATAATTTATTACTACTACTCTATATGCTAAAGTCGAGCTTGCCTAATTAGGTTGCGCCTCTGGCATGAAATGGCATAAGGCTAAAAATATGTATTGACGTTGACGACATATAGGCACTGGCGCCACTGAAATCCTCCTACATGAAACAAGAAATGGCGAATGACTCAAGTTCTCCAGGCGATAGCAACAGTTTTATATTAGTTTCCAACTCTAATCAAAGTTATTCCAATCCAGCAGACCTAGAATGGAGAGGGAAACTTGGTATTGACATAACCATCTTTGTCGTTGCTGTTATTGGTAACCTTGCTGTCCTTGTGGTTATTTACACTACCAGAGAACGACGAAAGACACCATTCGAGATCCTAATTGCTAACCTCAGTGTAGCTGACATCCTATCCGTTTTACTATACTCTACAATACAGTACTTCAACATACCACTTTCAAAATGGTATTGCAAACTTGTAGCGCCATTTTTCTCCAGTACCCAAATGGTGAGCGTGCTTACAATGACGACTATTGCAATATTTCGATGTCGATCCATTGTTTATCCTTTCAAAACCAAGCCCTCCATGAAGTTAACGTATTGCACTGTGGCAGGACTGTGGCTTGTGGCAAATATTTGTCTCCTTCCAGTTTATATAGTAAGGGAACAAAATCAAGGAAGGTGTGAAGAAATCTGGCCATCGGAGCTATTAAACAAGGTCTACACAGTCTCTTTATTCGTTGTGCAGTACATGATACCTTTGACTATTATCGCCATCTCTTACACCAAGATTATCTTGTATTTAAAACGACACAAAGTTTCCCGGTGTGGTTTAAACAGTGACAGAATAAAGCAGCTCAAAATGACGCGAAAGAGAGACCTGGAAGTCATCAAAATCTCCTTTATCATCGTACTTTTGTACAATATTTCTACCTTACCAGGCCAAATAGCTTGGATAGTCTGGATTGTTTTCGAACGCTACGAGATGGCACTAGTAATTTTCAAATTCTCTTATCAATTGTTGTTGTTTCATTCATGTTGTAATCCCTTCGTTTATGGCACAATATCTCGAGAATTTCGCTCTCGATTCGTTCAGGTGTTTTGGAGTATTTTCTGTTGCATCTGCAAAATGAGGAAGACTAAAACTGTCGTGTTACAAACAGAACAAGGGCATAGGAACAACGCATGTGTAGACTTGGAAATCATTGATAAAAAAGAGTAACGGTATAACCTGTCAAATGGACTGTTCATTGACAGTGGAATGCTCTTTTACCTTCATCACTTCTGTGTCAGGTTTCTTTTGTAAACATAAGCAATGACAATCACGTTTTATATATTCAAAGCTATATTTGTTAAAACTAAAAGCATTTACACTCAATGACAGAGGAACTGTCGGCAAATAGGCCATTTACTAATATTACCCTTGAAAACTCTGTTTTTTTCCAGTTTCAATTGTCTTATACTATATTCTCTTGACGAAGTCAGTACCACAAATAGCCCAAACTGTGTCGGCTTAAAACAGTTGTTGTGTGAAGCTGTGTGACGTTCAAGAGAGCATAACTGAATATGCTCTCTTGGAAGTAGTGCCAGACGTCAAGCATACCAGTTTCACCTTTGTTATTAATTCTTCTTTTCCTTATTATGTTCTTAATTCATACATATTAACAACACTCTACAGTATATATTCAATCACTCTGGAGGTGACAGTTGTTACTGCCAAAACATGTCATTAAAAAACTTCAAAAGTGTCGTTATTTCTCTTAAATGCATGTCTCTTGGTAGCCTGCGTCACATCCGGAATTTACGAAGAAAATTCCGGATGTGACGCAGCTAGTCTCTTGGAAGTACATATATATTTTTTACTACGAATGAATTAATTAAAGTGTTAATTAAATTACATTCAAACACCATCGTTGGGAAGGTTTGAAGTCTTTCTAGTCGATTTTGAACGAGTTATGGCCATTTGAATTTTGTACCAGAACTTGTTTCCTCGATAAATGTCCAATCATCTGATCATAGTTAATGGAGTGGAATGGTTTGGAAACTCCATAGAACAAAGCTATTGTTTTGCCTTTGATGTTGAATCGTACCATCACGTGTTACTGACGGTGCACAATGAACCAAAGCAAGTATGGCTGAAAATTAAGTATTTTATTTATCAATTGGTTATCAATCTGGTTTTTAATCCATTACCGGACTATCTTCTAAAAAGGTTACAAAAAATTCAATTCTCGTCTGCGAGTTTTGTCACTGGAAAATACGTGAACTCTGTGGAATCAGTCCTAAAGCTTGGATGGTTACCAATGCGTGAACGTAGAGATTATAACTTGCTGAAAGTCATCTATAAAGCCATTAACTCAGAGCACTGGCCTAACTACGTTGCACTGGAAGTTCGTAAACCATCAAGAACTTTACGTCAAAGTTCCACCTTGAATTTGGTCAGACC